TGGCCGGGGACGTTGTCCAAACAGCAGGGAAGCAGCACGAGCTTCCGCCCGCTGCGACAGGCACGACGCAGCCGTCACCGCGCCGGAGGCCGCGGTGCTCGAACCGCTCCCGCCAGGTCAGCCGAGCGACTCCTTTGCGCAGACGAAGCCCAGCACCGACCTCTCGCACGACCACCCGGGCGTTTATCAGATGTTCTGTTTTTCTGGGAAGGGAAGACGATGGGTTCTTTGGTCAGCCCTAATTTTGCAGACAGAAATCCTTTGGGACCCAAACTCCCTGATTTCGGGGGTGCAGGAGGCACAGCGGGTCCCGGTGGAAAGGACAGCGGCCACACAAGGACAGAGAAGAGGGCCATTAAGCAAACATATGGTCTATATTTAAGAGTGAGCGTTCCTGGCAGAGGGTGTGAAAGGCAATAAATGGCATTTGTGGGTGATTCAGCACCTCAGGGGAAGAGCCAGTGCCAGGAACAATCTATTAAAGGGGAAGAAAAAAGGAGCCAGGAGACCAGAAGGTGCCTGAAGGGCCCTTCTTGCCCTGGGAGGCTCAGAAAATTCGAGAGCCACCGACGCTTGGAGGACGTGGGGCTGTGGGGAGCAAAGGGTGTTGGTAATTTTGGATTCCTTGTGGAAACCGAACCGTGACCCCACTTCCCCGGCCAGGTTCACACTTAGGCAGGGACGCAAAGGAGCGAGTGTTGTTTGGAATAAAAAATTCAAGCTGAATGAAGCCAAGGGGCTAAACAAAAAGTGGCTGAGATGGCAGCGTCCTGCACGAGGCTGCCCTGGAGGGACAGGTCCAGCCCTGCATGAGGTCCGGGTAAGCGGGATTGGGGTCAAACACCCTGAACGTCCTCCACACCGAGGGCTCCAGTGTTTCCCAGCTGCTGCTCACGGGGGATTCGTAAAGAAGAGGGACGTTGTGCCGGTGTTCGACAGCTCAGCTCGTCGGAAACACGCTCTCCCTAGGCCGGCAGCTTAAGAAGGCCAAGGGGATCCTGGGGTGCATGAGGAGGAGTGTGGGCAGCAGGGCGAGGGAGGTTCTCCTCCCCCTCTGCTCTGCCCTGGGGAGGCTCCATCTGCAGTGCTGGGTCCAGTGCTGGGCTCCCCACTTCAAGAGAGATGAGGAGCTACTGGAGGGAGCCCAGCGGAGGGCTGCGAGGATGAGGAGGGGACGGGAGCATCTCTGCTACGAGGAGAGGCTGAGGGAGCTGGGCTTGTTCAGCC